AGTTGTTTGTTTCAGACTCACTGATCACTGTAGTGTGTTCCAGGCGGAGGTTGAAGCAATAAACGAGGCTATCTCCATCGTCTCCAAACTCTCTTTAGACAGACACTCAGTGTGCGTCTTCTCAGACAGCCAAGCAGCTCTTAGAGCACTTGGCTTAATATCGTCGAGCTCAACGCCTGTTAACGTATGCCGCAAGTCTCTAAATGAGACCGCTGAGCATATAAATCTCGCCCTAATATAGTTCCCCGGATACAAGGATATCGACGGGAGTGATGCTGTCGACGAGCTAGCCAAGCGAGGTACAAGCACACCTCTCCTACCGGAGAAGAAGCAAGTAGCGATGCCTTTGGCTTTGTGGCTACTACTAACCCACGAAGCCTTCGAGCTAATTGCCGACAGACGATAGCAGCAAACCATCACCTGTAAAACTTCCAGGACGATTTGGCCAAGTCGACTCAAGCCAGACTCAGCAGAGTACATGGCTCCACCGTTATCAGAACCATCACGGGACAGTGGCAGATCGGCACACACTCTGCCAGACTGTCAATTCCGGCCCTGGAAAACCGTAGGCTACAGCTTCTTGGGGCTCCTTTCCTCACCGACATTTCGGACCTGTCCAAAATCAGAACAGGGATCTTGTCCAAATACAACCAAGCCGAATTTGACTGCCCTTAATTCTGCAATAAGATTTCTCACCACGGTTTAGGGGATAGAGGGTACACGCCTATGCGGCATCACAACGGTCCTGTCACAGAATCAAGTGAGTTGGAGGGGGAGGGTTTTCTCTCTTTCCATCTACCGCCTTAACCTAACCTAACCTAATCTAACATCTGGTTTGCGTTTATCATTTTTGTGAGGTATTTTTTTTGTTAAATTTTTACATTAAAAAGTTTGAAGAAAGTTGTATTAAAAATGCGTCGTTTAATGTTGGACCATAATTCCCTGTAGCTTCAGCTGACCGTCTGGGAAATATTAAGCTTTCAAATGCAAACTGTATTGTAATATATGGACTGAGTGTTGACTCTCCACTGCTGTTTATTAATGATTCTTTATTGAGCTGCGCCCATGCCTGTGTTTATTCACGGTTAATTCGCTAACTTGTCACATTATGGTCAGCTCGGAAGTTTGTCAAATCTCGAGTCTCGCTCTGGGTCAGACTAACAGTGCCCGTAACCACCTCTGGATTCCACAATATTGCTATTGTTCTTAATAGCCTTTTTCACTGGCGACCATTCACCATCCATTTCTGGGATGGTCCGTAAGGCTTTGCCTTTCCGAAAATTTCCCAGTTATTCCACCATCCATGTGGGATGTTCCTTATTCGCATGTTTCTGTTTGGTATTTTTTTGATAATTTTCAAATGCAACCATAAATATATTTCACATACACAACGAAAAAGGTCCATTCACTACGAAAATGTAAACAATGACAGACAGGAAAATGGTAAAAACAACAACAAAACATCTGATATGTCAGAATTGTCTCAGGCACAAAAACTTGGTTTGTGGATTATCCTCTAGGAATTCTTTTATGAATGCTCAAAACTCATGCAGGAAAAGAGCCCATATATACGGCTTTACAAAACTTAGCTTTAAAAACGCCTTGTTGGTTTTGGGTACATCTTTCTCCCAAAATGTCCCAAATTGCTTCTCAACAGACATAGAATATATATTTGTTTTTAATGACCACGCTTCTGTGTTTTCCAAACAGATCCATTACAATAAATTCTCCTCTTCAATGTTGGCCTCATTACACTAGTCAACACGATTTTTCCTCAAGGAACAAAACGAACTTTTTCTTAAAGATTTGGGGCTTAGAAATGGTTTGATGATATTTTTTTTTTTTCTATGGCAGAACTTTTTTTTAAAGAATTTTTGAAAACTGGTATTTTTTTTTAAAGCTTTTTTCAGAGGTAACGCTTGTTTTTTTCACATAACTCTAGTATCTTACGTCTGGTTGTAAAGAACTTTGCTATTTTGAAAAGATAATTAAAACAGCTAGACGTTAAGCCCAAACACTTTGTGATTACAGCTTACCGTCTGGGAAATATAAAGCATTGAAATGCAAAAATGATGATTTTTGTGCGGTATTTTTTACGAAATTTTGACTTTAAAAACTCAGGAAAAGTCGAAAATAGCAAAGTTCTTAACAACCAGATGAAAGATACTAGAGTTATGTGAAAAAACAAGCGCTTTCTCTGAAAAAAGCTTAAAAAAAATACCAGACTTCAAAAATTCTTAGAGAAAAATTTCTGCCATAAAAAAAAAACCATAGTTCTTAAAAAAATTTTAAAGCCCCATATCTATCAGAAAAAGTCGGTTTGGATCCTTGAAGAAAAAAAAAGTTCGATTTTGTCGAGTAGTGTTATCATCATTCATGTCCAGCAACATGATTAGATTGTTCAAGAATATATTTTGGTGCAGGATAACATTCACAACCATTGCAATATTATTAATTTTCATTGAAATTATAAATGTGAACAAATTTTCACCGCACGCAATTGTGAGCATCAGCTGTTTCTCATGGAAGGTGGAGGGTAGATGGCGGATGGTGCCAGTGTGAATCAGCGCTTCGCACCTTTCAAAAATTCCCACCATTCCGCCGGGATGGGGTAAGCGTGCTGAGGGCATAAGATTGGTGCTTAAATATATTGGACCAACACACACTACATGAATGCATTACATTCAAATTTTTTAGCGGTATGCATATTTTTAAAATTTTTGTCTTTGAAAACTAAAGACAAAAAATATGTCTTGTGTTTCCATATTTAATTTGCAAAGGTGAATTAACTAGGCGCTACACTACTCGACAAAATCGAACTTTTTCTTCTTCTTTCTGATAAATTTGCGGGTTAAAATTTTTTTAATGAATTATGGTTTTTTTATACGGCACTACATTTTTTTTAAGAAATAAAAACAAATGGAATTTATTGTAAATCTTTTTTCAGAGCAAGCGCTTTTTATACACGTAATCAAAAAAGAGTTAAGGGGTATATTAGATTTGCGGTAAAAGTGGATGTGTGTAACGCAGAGAAGGAAACGTTTCCGACCCCATAAAGTATATATATTCTTGATCAGCATCAATAGCCGAGTCGTCTGTCTGTCCGTCTGTCTGTCTGTCTGGCTCAATGAGCGCCTAGATCTCAGAGACTATAAAAACTAGGGCAACCAAATTTGGTTTCCAGACTTATGTGATATCCCACTGCTACAAGTGTATTTTAAAATTTCGCCCCGCCCCCTTCCGCCACCACAAAGGACGAAAATCTGTGGCAGACACATTTTTAAAGATACGATAAAACTAAAAACGCATTATCGTAGAGAATGACCATATCTACCAGACTGCCGAATCTGAATCAGATCGGGCTATAATTATAGCCAGAATGACGAAATTATCTTTCAGTTGCTTCCCCTGTAACCACCTGACATCGACCAAGAAACTCATTTTCCTTCACGCTCGCACACTCTACCGCGTTCAGTGCGCGAGCAACCCCTAGCGGAGGAGATGTAGAATCTAAATGGTACATGTGGAATCTACATGTTAGATGTAGAATATACATAATATATGTAGATGTAGATAACAGATGTAGCAAAAAAATGTAAAATGTAAAATTTTTTTTTTTAATTCTAAAATTCTAAAAAATCATATGCTCAAAAATGTAAATACTGACTGAGTACGGGTATAAGTAGAGTCGCGTCTTTAGAAGCGACTCGCACGTTCCTTCTCGTTTTCTTATAACTTAAGTATCTTACATCTTGATATAAACTTTGCCATTATAAAAAGCTGATAAATACATCAATAAGGTAGATGTAGTATTGAGCTTTTAAATGCAAAATTGATGATTTACTGTATGGGCAGTATTTTTTTCAAAATTTTGAATTTAAAAAGTTAGGAAAAGTGAAAAAAAAGTGTTTAAGTGCTTTAATAAGACGTCATTGAACCTATTGCTCATGAAAATCTATGGATAAACGGTTAACATTTTTTGAACAAGCCACCGAAAATCGACTCAAAGTTGAAGTTTTCTACCATTTTAAATGTTTCTTCAAATTTGTCATATTTTTGCATTTTTATACCCGAACTCAAAAAGGAGCTAAGGGGTATATTGTATTTTTGGTAAAAGTGGATGTGTGCAACGCACAGAAGGAAACGTTTCCGACCCCATTAAGTATATATATTCTTAATCAGCATCAATAGCCGAGTCGATATAGCCATGTCCGTCTGTCCGTCCGTCTGAACGTCTTGATGAGTGCTTAGATCTCAGAGACTATAAAAGCTAGAGCAACTAAATTTTGTTTTCAGACTCATCACACTGCTACAAGTGAATTTCAAAATTTCGAACCGCCCCCTTCCGCCCACACAAAGAACGAAAATCTGTTGCAGGCACAATTTCAAAGATACGCCCACGCTTTGGGCAATTTCATAATTTATAGTCAGAGTCTGCAGCGCAGATATCAATGAAAAAAAAAATTGTAGATGAAAACTGTACCACTCCTTTATCGAATTTTTTATTCAGTTCGATAAATGAATAAACCTGAAGATAAATCGACTCTAAGTTGAAGTTTTCTACCATTTTAAATGTTTCTTCAAAATTGTCATATTTTTCCATTTTTTTTTTTTGTATGGTATGGTTTTATTTTCATTTATTGTTATAAATAAAAAATAAAATAAAAATAAATAAAATTGTCCAAAGAATTCCAACGGTACGATTTTTTTTAGAAAATGTGCTCCATGCTATATATCAACAAGCAATGTTTTTTAATTTGTTATGTAATTTTAATTTAGCTACATGTAAAATTCAAAAATGAAGAAAAAATAACGCACAATGATCATCATTTTCGCATTTGAAAGCTTAATATTAAGCTGAAATCACAAATCCTACGGGTCTTATTTATAGCTGCATTTCTTAGCTTTTCAGAATAGAAAAAAAGAAAAAAAAAGTGATCTTAAAAAGCTTAAAAAAAATGTATTTTGTTCAATAGTGATATTTAAGAGTACGAACTTACCTTTGTCCTGCCTCTGTTGAATCCACTGTCATCATGCGGACGAGGACGTTGCCCCGGCTGAAAAAATTAAAACTTTTACTAAAATATTTTTAACTTGAAGGAACATGCGATTCGCTTCTGGGGACGTGACTCTACTTATACCCGTACTCAGTCAGTATATACATTTTTGATTTTGATTTGGTTTTTTAGAATTTTAGAATTTAACGAGAAGGAATGTGTGAGTCGCTTCTGGGGACGCGACTCTACTTATACCCGTACTCAGTCAGTATACACATTTTTGAGCATATGATTTTTTAGAATTTTAGAATAAAAAAAAAATGTTGACATGTTACATTTTTTTTCTACATCTGTTATCTACATCTACATCTACATTGTATATTCTACATCTAATATGTAGATTGTACATGTACCATTTAGATTCTACATCTCCTCCGCTAGGGGTTGCTCGCGCACTAAACGAGGCAGAGTGTGCGAGCGAGAAAGAGAATGAGTAGCGTGGTCGTTGTCAGGAGGGGGCGGGGGAACAACTGAAAATTAATTTCTTCATTCTGGCTATAATTATGATCCGATCTGATTCAGATTCGGCAATCTGGTAGATATGGTCATGCTCTATGATACTGCGTATCTTTGAAATTGTGCCTGCAACAGATTTTCGTTCTTTGTGTGGGCGGAAGGGGGCGGTTCGAAATTTTGAAATACACTTGTAGCAGTGTGATATCACATGAGTCTGGAAACAAAATTTAGTTTCTGTAGCTTTTATAGTCTCTGAGATCTAAGCACTCATCAAGACGTTCAGACGGACGGACAGACGGACATGGCTATATCGACTCGGCTATTGATGCTGATTAAGAATATATATACTTAATGGGGTCGGAAACGTTTCCTTCTGTGCGTTGCACACATCCACTTTTACCAAAAATACAATATACCCCTTAGCTCCTTTTTGAGTTCGGGTATAAAAATGCAAAAATATGACGAGTTTAAAGAAACATTTAAAATGGTAGAAAACTTCAACTTTGAGTCGATTTTCGGTGGCTTGTTCAAAAAATGTTAACCATTTATCCATAGATTTTCATGAGCAATAGGTGCAACGACGTCTAATTAAAGCACTTAAAATCTTTTTTCGACTTTTCCTGCGTTTTTAAAGTCAAGTTTTGAAAGCTTAATATTTCCCAGACGGTAAGCTGAAATCACAAAGAATTTAGGTCTTATTTATAGCTCAATTAGCTTTTCAGAATGGCAATGTTCCTTACAACCAAATGTAAGAAACTTGAGTTATGTGAAAAAAAGAAGCGCTACCTTTGAAAAAAGAAAATATAAAAAAAGACTTCGTTGACTGTGGCTCAAGCCAAACCTTTTCAAGGTCAGAAATGTTCAGGTGGTCAGGCAACTGATCCTTTTATTACTTCTTGCTCGGGTTCGCGGCGGCTTTAGTCGCAACCCTCTTTCAATTTGCAAAAAGAGTTCCGCTATGCATTAATTTCTTACGCAAAGGACACAATGTGTCAAAGTGCAAATCGTCACATTGCAGAGTTTGTTCGAAACCGCATCATACTTTGTTGCATCGTTACACAACTGACTCATCCACAAGTCAATTTGCGTTGGACAATCCGCCTGCAAGAACTCTAAACGCAAGTCGACTAGTTTCGAATCATGCAGTGGCACGCGACAATACCCAAGTAATTTTAGCCACAGCAGTTGTTGACATTAAAGGCAGCTCAAGCCAACATCAGCCAGCCAAAGTATTGTTGGACTCTGGTTCTCAAGTGAACTCTGCAGTTAAAGAGAACTAGAAAAGATATTAGCTTGTATTTGAAAGTCCAGCTTATCGGTACACCAAGTTGTGCAAACCACAATCTGCTCTCGCATACACCCACTCGAAATGGTGGCAATTTTCGTGATTTTAAAATCGATTTCCTCGTATCATCCAGAAAAGGCTGTTCCGTTTGATTCCTTAATAGATGTTACTGAGAGCTATCCGCTGGCTGATCCAGTCTTTTATAAGCCTTAAAAAGTTGATTTGCTATTAGGTGCAGACGCCTTTTTCGATATCTTAAGTAATGGTCAAGTAAAGCGGGGTAGAGAGGCACTAGCCTTACAAAACACTGGGATTGGGTGGGTGGTCTCTGGACGTTGCAAGTCCAAAGGCCCTCAAGCCACATTAAATTGCTCTATGGTGAGCAGAAGAAACCTGCCCGCTCGACAGCTTGGTTAAATGTTGGAATATGTTACAAATGCATCCATAGAAAGACTGACGCGACTGACCCCCGAAGAAACTATGTGTGAAAAATCCTTCATCGACACTATCACACGTCTAATCTCCGGTCGATTGCAAGTTTCTTTGCCATTTAAGTCTAGCCCGACATCTCTCGATTCGTCGTTTGAGATGCCAAAAACCTGCCATAAAATCGATGTTTATGGACTTTATGGAGGAAAATCTGTCATTAGGCCATATGATTGCAATAGAAAATTCAATCCCGGTAGAGCAGCATTGTTTCATCCCGTATCAATGCGTGGAACGACCACAAAGTACATCTACTAAGCGAGTCAAGTCTCGCTCAATGATTTACTCATGGTTGGAGCCACCATTTAAACGTGCCTATACGCAACGTTGCTAAGATTTCAGTGTCGATAATTCGCCCTCACAGCAGACATTACAAAAATTTACCGTCAAGTCGAACTTGATGGGGCGCATCACAAAGTCCAATTAATTATTTGGATACGTGCAAGTTCTGATCCCTTTAAAATGTTTCGTCTCAATACGGTAGCTTATGGCACCGCCATCGCACCATTTCTTGCTGTCAGGGGCTTGAAGTATCTAAGCGAAAGTCATTTAAATTCGCATCCAATTGGCTCAAAGTCTCTTACTTCAGATTTCTATGTTGCCGATCTCTTACAGGCGCAGACACGAAATCCGAACTATGCATATTGCGTCAACAGCTAGTTGAAATCCTAGAGCCAGCCGGATTTGTGCTAACGAAATGGACTGCTAATTGTCAACTAGGTGACAGTCAGAAAGAGAATCTGGTTATTTCGAGTGGCGATCAGCAAGATTGGAACCTACAGGCAGACATTTTCAAGTATTGTCTGAAACCAATAGTCTCGTCTGAAACCACAGCCAAGAGAGCAATATTGTCCGTCATAGCCAGTCTTTTCGATCCCTTGGGTCTGCTATGTTCGGTGATTACTAATGAAAAAATCTTCTTGCAGAAAATTTGGATTTTGAGCATTGGTTAGGACGATCCCATTCCCTTAAAATTGCAACAAAGATGGAAGTCGATGGCTTCGGACATTCAAAGGTTGTATGAAGTCGCCATTCCACGATTTGTAGCAGCTAGCACAAACACTCGATGTCAAATACATGGGTTTGCAGATGCGTCCACGCGAGCATAACCCCGTAGGAAAGGTTATATTGTGGTCAGATTCGGAAGTGGTTCTCATCCCTCCCAGTTAACAACATTTGTTTCAAATCGAGTTGCAGAGATACAGGACATCACTTCGACTGCCTTATGGAGACATGCGCCCACCAAAGAAAATCCTGCAGATCTAGTGTCTCGGGGATCATCAGATGCACTATTTTGGTTCAACGGCCCGTCATTCCTGCAACAACATGCCATGTATTGGCCTCAAAATCCTCATTTACGTTTGACAGAAGCGGATGCGTCATTAGAGAACAAGAAGGTAGCCACTGCTCTTGACCGTCATCAGACGAGCTTGGCACAGCGTTTCTAATAGCAGGGGAAGCTGTCCAAAGAGAAGCATTTTCAAACGAAATTGAAAAAATAAAAAGGTCAAAAAAGTTGCAGGCATCACTTCAAAAACTAACTCCCTTCATTTCGGAAAAACAAGTGGGCTCATGCACTTTTTTGTTGGTTCGAGTAGGCGGTCTGCTATTAAATGCTCCTTAGCCCATAGTGCAAAATATTCAGTGTTGATGCCAAAGAATTGTAGATTTGTTACTCTCTATTTTAGCTATTTGCATCGAGCCAATTGTCACGCTGGACTACTGGACCGTGCACTAGTGGGATTCCTAAGACAATCCGTGTGGCTGATAAATGCGAACACTGCTTACATTACAAACCGAAGCTTCTCTCACAAATCATGGGAAACCTTCCCGCTGATCGATTGCCTGGTAATCGACCCTTTGAGATTAACGAAGTTGATTTGTTTGGACCAATTCGTGTATCGCGGCATTCGTGGCAAGCAGCCTCTTAAGATACTTAGCAGTATTTGTCTTCTTCGCATCTAAGGCCGTACAACTAGATATTTTAAAAGACTTGAACTCTAATTCATTTATTTTGTGCTTTTTCAGGTTTGTTGGACGTCGTGGGCCGCTTGTCAAACTGTAGTGCGACAACGCCACGAATATTGCTGGTGCTGCTCGCATGCTCAAGGAGCGCGCATCCATGCATCCATACCAATGCCATGGACGAGGACTTCAAGGAGTATGCTGTGGCTCACCGTTTTTCGGTGGAATTCATCCCCCCGCGAGTCCCGCACAATGAAGTGAGGTCCGCCAAATATCTGCTGCTCAGGGCCATGGGTAGCGCAGTGCTCAAGAAGGACGGGAAACATTCCGTCTCGTGGAAGTCCGTGCCCAACTGCAGGCAACTGGTGGTAGACAGCGGCAGTCCCAACGAAGGAGAGGTGCTGCAACGATGGCTGGTCGTGTCTGCCATCAAGCAACCATTTTCAACAGGGAGGAAAGTGGTCCGAGGAGGTGTCCTATCTGGAGCCATGCAGTGTGGTGGCAATTCACGAGGACAATGTGCCCCCTCAAATGTGGCTCACAGGAATAGGGGAGGAGGCAATCCCAAGAGCGGACGGGAAGGTTCGCGTGGCCGTGATCAGGACTAAGGTCGAGGTCTTCAAGTGATCGATCCATTGCTGGGCGCCTATTCAAATAGATTAAAGTCTATAGGATATCAACGCAGGAATATCAACGTGTTAATCATTTGGTTGCTTATATTTTATAACTTGTACCGTAAAGAAATGTATGAAATCAATCTCTTGAATTGTCAACCTTGTTCCCTTATCCGATGTTGTGAACGAAGCTT